CTTTCGGGCTCTGTCTTTACATTTATTTTGAAAGATGAAGCTCGCGATTATGGTAAGGGGCGTTACATTTCCGACGAGTGCTTGCGGTGTTCGGCCAATCACAATGCACTGGGTCAGCTGGCCAATCAGAGCAGACTGCGCTTGTCGGAAGGAGGGACTTTGTAGAAAAAGAAGCGTTTGATAGAGGCGGGGCATAGAGGACCTACAATAATGTGTTTTTTTAACATTAAAGCATGTCAACATATTCTGTTACACCAAATACACAAAATAATGATCTTTAAAAAAGCATCATATGACCCCTTTAACTAAAAAAGTTTTTTTTTTTTGTCATTTCAGAGTTGACCAGACATTTTCCAGAGCCAGGAGTTTGTGGTAAGTGCTGTATTTTTCATGTAACTTAGCCATAGCCTGAAACAGCCGTTCCATAAACCACAAGCTTTTATGCTGTTTTGCTCAAGGGTATCAGCCTGGACACAGAGGAAAGACAATTTTCTGTCTGCTGTAAGTGACTTGGAAGGAAACCATTCAAAGGCCCTTTAGTGTTGTAGCTGCTTTTCCCTTCATAATACCATTCATAATACCAGCTTATTGCCATTTTAAAGCTGCTTTTAAAAAACGTTCCTGGTTGCATGATGTGCACCATTCAGAATTGAATTTAGATTTACATTTTTAATTCAGTTCCTGAGTTTTAATTAGGTTAGAAAAATCAAAGAGGATACAGAATTGCTATACAAATTCAAGGAATAAATGAAAATGAATGAATTTAATTAATTGAAAATTAATTGAAATTCAAAGAGATTCATATAACTCTAATTTGTTTTTATCATTTTTTTTCTCAAGGAAAGATTTAAATATTGGCATAAGCATTGAATAATCATTGAAATAAGCATTGAATTTTAAAGATGGTCTAATGGCTGGGTGGGTGGACAGACAGACATAGACATAGACGGACGGACGGACGTACGGACGGACGGACGGACGGACAGATAGATAGATAGATAGATAGATAGACAGACAGACAGACAGACAGACAGACAGATGGATAGACTGATAGATGGATAGACAGGCAGTCAGACAAATAAACAGATAGACGGATAGGCAGATATATAGAAGGATGGATAGACTGGCAGACATAGATGAACAGACAGACAGATAGATCGATAGCTAGATGGATAAAATGAATAGACGGATAGACAGACAGATACAGTAGATAGTGAGAAAAACAGATAGACAGATGGATAGATTCAAATTCCAACTCATGAAATGATAGGGAGCCATTTTTAAAATTTAACTTGTGTACTGTTGGTTGTAACTCCTAAAATCTTAAATGTCAAGATGTGGGATTGTTTGACTCTGCTCAGGGAGTGTCACAAAGCGGTACAGAGTGAGGACAGACATATTAAATGTTTTTGATTCGGGCAGTGGTTTTGGGATGAGAATGGTCCGGAGCGCAGAGGACACACTGCAGTCCTGCTGCCTTGTTGCCACAGCGACGGGAGACAGCTCTGCAGTGTTGGCAGGACGAACTGGCTGAGGCGCACATGCGACACTCTCACGCCCCTGTCTCTGTGACTGAGAGTGTGTGTGTGTGTCTGTGTGTGCTGGCAGGCCGTGTGTAAAGGCCTGCTCAGAATGCCAGGCGCAGATGGACAGCAGTCTGAAGGTCGGTCCTAACGAACCCATGGGATAAACCAGATTCCCGGCTCCGACGGCATCCGTCCCTCCACGTGTAACCTCAGGACCCTGCCTGCATCAGTCTCCGCCTCTGTAGCAAACAGCCTGCAGGAAGAGAGACCTACCGTGTCCATCCTTCCACACTGTTTTCTTCTGAAGGCACAGAGAAGTTGAGGACAACTTGAGGTTTTCTTCTGATTTATGGGACTGATTTTTGATGGCGATCGCAGCCTTTAACATCACATTTCAGTGGCTTTGTGATGGGACTTTGATAGGTAGTCCATTGCTGGAATTGCGGTTTGTTTATATATTTTGGAACTTGTGCGAATAGGATACAAAATATGATCAGTTGTCAAATATACCAAAGTAAGGTAGAGAACTTACAATGATAGAAAATTTATCTTTTTTAATGGTGTATATATAGTGGTAATTTATCAAAAATATATGCAAATTTATGTATGATACTTATTTTGAATCTTTGAAAGAGTCTGAGAAGAAGATACTTAAAGGAAGAAGATTCATTAGCTTGTCAGAGTGAGACAGGATCTGACCACTGTGATCCAGAATTAGGCCATAATCCCGTCTGTAGGCCTCTTGTAAGTGACTGCCTGAGACCTTCAGTAAGGAACACAGATCTCAATTAGTCTGACAGATCCACAATGCCTTGCTCTCCCTTCCGAATCAGGAGGCCGAAGAAGTTCTGGTGAGTTTGAATTTGAGAAGGTCTTCCAATGGTCAATCTGAATATGAAAAGAATGTAAATTTTTCGCCAGCGGTGCTGCGAGTGTTTGTTTAGTGGTCATTACGTGTGGATTGTGCTCATGGATGTGGCATACATTAGCATGAATGGATTTAGATTGGTTTACTAAATGAAGGCACCTTGCTTATCGTCACAAAGCAATCTTTGTGCAGATCCAGCAGGAATGCTTCAATATTCTGCAATGATGCTGCATTAGAGGAATGGTGCTGCTTATGGAGTGTGAATCAAGACACTTTTATCTGTTGGTAAGGCATCTTTATCTACCTGTCTGTTTCGCTCATTCTTTCTCTATCTCTCAAATTCAGACTATTTCTCTTTTTTTGGTACATATGAGCAATCTAGGTCACTGTCATTATGTGCATATAGCAGCATTAGTTTTAGGTCTTGAGTTAAAGACGGCATGAAATTGCCTGACTAGCATAGTTTTCGTTCCTGTGTTTTGATGTATTTTGTATTGAAACAGAGTTTGGCTGGGACATATTGAAGTGACACTCTCTTTAAAAAAATGCCCAGTTGCCTTTAGTTTGTCAGAGCCATGAACCTTGCTACTTTATAGTAGCTAGTCCGTTGCATGTGGTGTTAGGAGGAGGGAGTTCATAACTGTAGATAGTATGTGATTGGACAAAAATCTGTGTAGTGCAGGATGAGTCATCACTATTTATTTTCTGTATTCCTAGAAGAGAAATAATGCAATTTTTAAAAAAGCAATCAATACCTTTACTTCGTAAGAACACTTCCTTGAACTTCCTATTCATAAAGTATCCTGAAAAAAATGAATCTCAAAAATATTAAGTAGCATATTGATAATAAAAAGAAATGTTTCTTGAGCACCAAATCTTAAACATTATATTAGAATGATTTCTGAAGGATCATGTGACTTGGAGTAATTTCTGCTGAAAATTCACAGGAAGAAATTACATTTAAAATATATTATAACAGAAAAAGAAAAAAAACAACCCCAAAATTTTGAATGATAGTGTAAATTTTCATTAAAAACAAATAGTTTGAAGTAAATGAAAGGCATTGTTCCTTTACTCACCTTTATGTTGTTCCTGAACTATGGAATAGAAAAGATGCTTCTGTCTATGCAGCGGTTTTCATTGTATGAACCAAAAAAAAAAAAAACATCTTTCCTTTTTGAAAGTTTTTTTAAAGATCTTCAGTGTTCTGCAGAATAAAGTCATACAGGTTTGGAAAGGCATAGGAGTGTGTAAATGAATTTTCATTTTATTCCTTTAAGTTTGATGTATCAAACTCCAAACCTTCTCTTTCTCACTCATGTAAATGAAAGCTCCAGCTGCATGTTTTGCAGCTCTGTACCATATAGTCCTCTTCACAACAGCATCCCTAATGCCAGGCCAGCGCTAAATCCGGAAGCACTTAGCACACAATATGGCACTCATATTACAGGCTGCCGGTCCCACACTATATCTAACCCCATCTCAGGTCAGCTAAACCCATTCAAGGTCCAGAGAGACTCACTTCTCTTCCTGTAGCGGAAATAATACACACTCTATATTAGTGATGCACGGATCGTGGTTATATCCGCGGGTGCTGCGGATAATCCGCAGGTCGGGTAATAAATAAATACATTCTGATTAATTGCGGCTGGGTCGCAGGTGGATGAGATAGATCATTAATTATGCAAACATTAACTACGTTCTCTATAATATGAACGTGTTTTAAAATGCATCTTTTTCATCAGGCAGACAGGCGCGCTCAACATAATTATTTTTTGTGTGTGTGTGCGTTCGTCTGTTCGGGAAGTTGCAGTGACAGAAACAGTGACATTCCAGTTAAAGATTGAAGGGAGCCTGTGCTTATGCTATTAATCTGGCCAAAGAAGAACTTTTGTTTTATAAATAAATGTTCATTTAAAAGCAGCCTACGATTAGCGTATTATGTTACTGTTATCCCTTATGGCTCCAATGAGGTTTTGCTCCATCCTCCATGTGGTGCCAACTCACAAAAGGAGTGAAGAAACTTGATTTGCGAAACCTTTTTTTTATTGTGTTTAATGCTATGTCCTACTTTGTTGTGCTGTAGCCTACAGGCAATGTTAACACACTTAAAAGTGTAGTTATGAATCACAAGGATAAAAAATTTGTAGCTGTTTTTTAATCGTATGAAATCAACCCGATCTCACAGGAATTTGTACATATTTGACAAGGGTGCTAATTCATTCAAATTCGTACGACCTCACTCGTACAAATTCATACGATTTGTGAAAAATCGGGTGCTGGTTGGGGCAGATATCTAAATCAGAGAAAAATATAGGTGCGGGCGGGTGGATAATTAGTTTGAAGCTGCGGATTCGGGTGATGTTTGAGCTGATCCACGCATCTCTACTCTATATATTTTTCCCATTAACTCAGTGGACTTTAGCTACTTGCTTTCATTAATCTCAGAATGACCTGCAGCTATGAGAAGGCTGCTGACATTCTGAGATGTTTGAAAGCAATCAAGTGTCTTTCCTGTTGCCCTTTTTTACTTCCCTAACATCAAAGAGACATCCCTGGCTTTGATAAAGTATCACTGAAAAAAAGTGCAGAAATATGTCATGTCAATACGGAGTGACAACGGTTTTTTACTCTCCTTTCATCACAAAGTGCAGGTGTCACAGTGAGGAGAGACATGGTTTCCTCAGACTTTCTGCTTTTAAGACCAAGTCGATCTTTTCCTCTGGAAGTATGCTGCCATCTCGTTCTTTTTCGCTTTAAATAATTGAGCACATTTGTCTAACCGATGTAGAGCCGAGTTCTGTCTGGCGTTATTAAACGAGACGGAGATATATACGGAGGCTGGTTTAAAATAATACAATGAGCCATTAAGGGCACACAATGCTCTCTTGTCCCAGACAGCCTGGTGCGAAACAGATTTTGTGTTTGACGAGATCGATAGAGTAGAGCGATGTCCACCAGAGCAAACAGCTGTACACAATCATACATAGACATGGGCAGATTGTTTTTACCATAGGCTGTTGTTTATTTAGCCCTGTTTTGGCAATTATGGTACATTCAAGTCCTCCTGGGAAGTTTGTATTTACAAGTTTGTTTCATCAGCATCACTGCATGTCATGAGGTGCATTTAAATCACTTTGGTCAGAGCAAGATGCTGATATACTTTTTCTACTCTTTTTAACTCTACTTATATAGAACGATGAAAAATGTGCATTAGGTGTATTTGTACTTGTTTTCATTAAATATATATATATATATTCTATTGTAATTCTACAATACTATTGTATTTTGAATGTGCAGTTTATTAAGAAATGCATTAACTTTTATTTTAAACAATAATAATTTCATTCATTTCATCAAATTTATTGCCAATGTAGTCTCTACATCTATTGCATCCACCATGTTTTTTCACTGACGCCTCCCCAAATTGGAAACTTGGGGCTCAAAGAAAATCCTGAGTTTCATAATTTTTCATAATTTCATAAGTCATAATTACAACTTAGTGGTGCCATTCATGTGTGTTCTACTCATAAATACGATACTTTGGACATGAACGCAGCATTAGTTGTGCAAGACAGGAACTACTACTTCTGATTCCGATTTGCTATTTATTTAATATTAATGATGGCAAATTATATAACATTTACAGAAAAAAATTTAATTTAATAGAAGCATCAGTACTGATGTTATTGATTTTTAATTTAGATTTAGGGTGTGATTGCATGAAGTCGTCTGTCCTCTAGTGGTGGTGTAGATTTCTCCAAGAGTTAATTTATTTTCTAATCTTCATGTCACTCATGTCAATGTTGTTAGGGAAAATAGCAGTACCATATTTGATAACCCAAGTTCTTGTATACATTCTTGTATGGAATAGAGCAATTTGAACATTCCTATAAATCTCCTTTTGTGTCCATAGAACCAAAATCATGCAAGTTTGGAGTGACATGAGGGTGAGTAGACAGAACTTTCTCAGAGAAGTCTCAGAGGAGCAGAATGTTCTTCAATCTGCTCTTTTGTCTGTAATGATGCTCCTGAGATGTTTGAGAATTCTGATATCTGCCTCAATGATGTGCTTTCTCAACCAGACTCTATGCGCCGCCACTGTTCATAGGTTTAGAGCAAAGAAGTGGGCTCTGTTCTACTTTAAGACTATATTTGTTTAGTTTTTCACGGTACACATGCACAAGAACGCATACAGGTGAGTTTGCTTGAACTTTCACACTCCTGTATCTGTGTGTGTGTTTATGGGAATCTATCGGCTAGTGTTTCAAGGAGAAGGGAGGAGAGAGCTGTCAAACTTAATCAGCCCATGACTGTTTCTGTGTGTCTCTTACATGCAACTGTCTGACTAAATATAGCAGCAATGTGACAAGCTAGTCCCTGATTCTCTGAGACAACATTTATAAATGGAAACCCATCGAAATCACACGGTACACAAAATGCGTATTAAAAACAACCTGACGCTTCCATTCCAGGACAAGATTTGCAGAAATATGCACATTTAAAAACTTTAGGTGTATGAAAAAGACATTTTATGATGAATACACCTTGATTAAGTCTTACTGTATCTTCTATTAATCACATATTCCGGTTAGGCAATTAATTGATCTTGTAAACGTGCTTGTCTGCATTTTTAATTCATATCTCTGTCACAATGAGAATCTGTGTATAATGACTGTTATCAGATTGTCAGAGAAATCTGTAACAAAGAGAAGACAGGTCATTATTCTTCATTCACACACACACCTTTTGTCACATAGTAGCTGTTTTCTATACGGTAGCAAGGGTGCTTTATAGTAACGCAGTAAAAGAAACAGTGTGAGCTTCAGGGACCTTTTCAAAGCCTAGGAATGTTAACTGAACCGTGTGCATTTGTATGGTTGATGGAAAGCAGGAATAGTCAAGCGACGCATGAATACACTCCCATGGGTCATAAAAAATGTGATTATACAATATTGTCACAGTTTGAGGCAGAAGATTCAT